TGCATGCCTGTAATCCCAGCTACTTGGGAGGCTGAGGCAGGAGAATCGCTTGAACCTGGGAGGGGGAGGTTGCAGTGAGCTGAGATCACACCATTGCACTCCAGCTTGGGCAACAAGAGCGAAACTCTGTCTCAAAAAAAAAAAAAGAAACATGTAGTTGGGGATAAGAGTATTCTTAGGGGTTGGGTGGAGTCACACAGAGGTGCAAAAATAAAGGAAATATATAGAATAGTGCATCCACAGGTCAGGAATACCATGCCTCCACTTGCCCCAGGGTTCTGCACAATGCACACACTCAATAAATGTTAATTGACTGAATTAATAGGCTTCATAGTTCCAACATGCAGTCCAGTGCCTAATTAGCTAGTCCAGGCAAGCCCTCTTAATATTATATTTGGAGAATGAGAGACATGAACTGGTTGAGTGACCTCCTCAGGTCACCCTCTTTGTTAGAGGCATAATCAAGACAGGAGTCCAGAGGCACAAGCAACCACCAGCCACCAATGAACTGGCCCACCACTGACGAGGTCAGGAGCTGAGAAGGCAGGAACACTAAGACAAATGGAATCTGAAGTCTAAATTCAGAGAATTTTCAGTTCCCTCAAATCACAAATGAGAACATTTAAAATGAACTCATCAAACTCTCCTATGGGCTGGCTCGAGAAATAGAAGCCTCCAAGTTCAAGTGAGAAGTTGTGTAGGAAGAACTCTAAGACGGCACAAGGAAGACTCTTCTCACCACTTTGGTGAAGTTTCATAGAGAGGGCATGAGCTCCGGAAGCAGGCAGTCCCAGCTTTGAGTCTAGCTCTATTACTCACCAGCCATGACCTGAAGCAACTTAACCTCTTCAAGACTCAGTTTCTTCGACTCTATAGAGTTGATGTGCAAAGTAAAGATGTGATATAAGCCCCTAACATGATGAGTGGTCCAAAATGGGCACTCAGGTACAAACCCACAAACAAAATGCTAGTTATGACAATGATTCCACTAGGAACAGCAGAGCATCAGCCAGAGGTCGTGTAAAGTTTCCACTGACTTGATGAAAGGAAATCTAAAGTAATGAATAAACACATGGACAGGTCACTCAAACTGCAGATTACAAGGATAGTTTTTTTCAGTGTGAGAAAAATGCTGTTTGGTAGCTCACAAGCAGATTTCACGCTGGAGCAGTGCCCTCGACCCAGAGCAGGCTGGGCTTTTTAAATTGTCTGCTCTCTCTCTCTCTCTCTCTCTCTCTCTCTCTCTCTCTCAGCTTCTGATACATGATGTTCAGCAAATACACCACATACTGGAGAATGATATATCATATACCCTGCAGACTGCATTTTACGACAGACTCCCAAGATTGAGGGCAGATGTACTATGCACTTGAATATGCCCAAAGTTTTAAGAGTTAAGTTACTTAAAGCTACATCCAATGGCATCATTTGCAACAGAGCTGGTTACCAAAAATGCATTTGGGGCTTCTCATTTTCCAACTAAAAACTACATTAAACCAGCACAGTGCATTGGAATTTTATATGAGATTACAATAGTTGACAACATCCATATCTCTATATCAAAGAGAAACCATCCCTTTTACACAAGGAAATGATTTCGGAGGGAGTTGTACTTCTGAAAGAGAGACACTCCAGTGATCTGGACCTAGAATCTCTGAGACTGTAGATGTTGAATAATATTAGTGTTATAAGAACCTCAGTTATTGTTGCTGTTATTGTTGTTGTTGTTGTTATTATTATTATTATTATTATTACTGAGATGGAGTCTCACTCTGTCACCCAGGCTGGAGTGCAGTGGTACAACCTCAGCTCACTTCCACCTCCACCTCCCAGGGTCAAGCAATTCTCTTGCCTCAGCCTCCCAAGGAGCTGGAATTACAGGCGCATGCCAAGATGTCCAGCTAATTTTTGTATGCTTTTGTAAAGATGGGGTTTTGCCATGTTGGCCGGGCTGGACTTGAACTCCTGGCCTCAAGCAGTCTGCCCACCTTGGCCTCCCAAAGGGCTGGGATTCCATGTGTGAGCCACCTTGCCTGGCCTGACCTACACTTTTCTAAGTCCATTTCTCACTTTTCAGGTCACATCTGAGGTGTGTGTTAGTAGCATCTGACACAGTGATGACTCCCTTTCCTCTGAAACAGTTTCTTTAATTGGCTTCCAGCACAAACCCTTTCTTCATTTTCCTCCTTCTCACTGGGCATTCCTTCTTAGAATCCTTCCCTGGCCCAGCCTTTTCTCTCCGACCTCATAATCTTGGAGGGCCCCAGAGCTCGGCTTCAGACCCCTTCTCTTCCTTATTCACCCTCTTGGTGATCTCACCCGGTTTCATAGCATTAAATATCACCAGAAGCTGCCAAATGTGCACCTCCAGCTCAGACTTCTATCCTGAACTCCAGACTTCTTCTTTGTTTTTTGTTTGTTTGTTTGTTTTTTGAGATGGAGTCTCACACTGTCGCCCGGGCTGGAGTGCAGTGCCACAATCTCAGCTTACCGCAACCTCCGCCTCCCAGGTTCAAGTGATTCTCTTGCCTCAGCCTCCCAAATAGCTGGAATTACAGGCGACTGCCACCACGCCCAGCTAATTTTTGTATTTTTAGTAGAGACGGGGTTTCGCCATGTTGGCCAGGCTGGTCTCGAACTCCTGGCCTCAAGTGTTCCGCCCGCCTCGGCCTCCCAAAACGCTGGGATTACAAGCGTGAGCCACCACGCCCATCCGAACTCCAGACCTTTATCGAGCTGCCTGCTTTATGTATCAAACTTAACAAGTCCAAACTTGGACTTTTGTTCTTCCCTTTGAAGCCGGCTCCACTCCCAGTCTGCACCCCATCAGTCGATGGTAACTCTATTCAAAACCTTTCGAGTCTTTCTGGACTCCTCTTACTTTTTTTTCTTTTCTCACATCCAAATCTTGTTGGCTTCCTCTTCAAAATATATCCTGCATCCAACCACTTCTCACTACCTCTACTGCTACCAGTCTGTTCCAATCCATTGTCATCTCTCTTGGATTATCACATTCACTTCCTCATGACAGTCTCACTGTCGCCCAGGCTAGAGTGCAGTGGAGCAATGTCGGCTCACTGCAACCTCAGTGATCTTCTGATAGCCTTGTAGTATAAAGCAATTCTCTCTCTTGACCCATCATAGCTGTCCAGGTACCATTTAAAGAATAACAACAACAAAAGGTGACCATTTAGACAATTTAAGAATTACTTCCAAAAAGCAAACACATGGAGAAAAAAGCAAAACAAAATATAGGCTAGTGAGCACAATTAATTCCTACAGCCGGTTACAAATCCTTGCAACTTTCTCATTCCTTTAGGTTCATAGAAGTCAGAAGACTTCAGGTTGAGGAAAGCCAGGAATATGAAAGCCAAGGTCGGCTTTTAATTTACCTTCAACATGATCAAAACTAAACTTTTGCCCGGGAGTTTTCTCAGTAACAAAGGTGAGCAATTCCACCTTCAAAGGCATTTTTGGGTCTACTCAACAGCTTTGATTGCACTATTCCCTGTTTTCCTCAGAATTAGGTTTCACATTTGTAAATGTTAATAAACTAGTCCTGCTTTCCCAGGTTTCATGCTCAATCCTAAATGTCCTTAGGGGGCACTGTGAAGTTTATAAAGGCTCTGCTTCTTTTGCCTTCCTTTAAAGGATGGTGTTCCACTAAGATTCACCTTTCCATCTTCCACTCTCTTATCTTAATGTACATACTTTCCCTGGGTGATCTTTTCCACTTCTTCCCATATGCTCATGACTCTCAACCCTCTACCTATCTCTAGCTTGGGTCTCTCTCTTGAGCTTCAGATCCATATATCCCTGGATGTCCCATTCTCAAACACATTGTGCACATACAGAGTTCTTTTTCTCTGCCAAATGTACACCTCTTCCTCCTTTTCATTTTCCTTACTGGTGCCAAGATCCATCTAATCACTCATACCAGAAACCAGAGCATGGTGCTATAAGATCACAGAGGAGAAACCAAGGATAGTAGCAATTTGCTGCAGGGTAGGAATGCAGGGAGGCATTCCAAGTGACATAATGTAACTATAGAGATGCCGAAATAAGAAAAAGCATGGTATGTGTGCTGTTAGGATAGAACAGGATAGGCCGAAGTAACGAATAAAACCCCATAATCTCAGTGGCTTTTTTTCTCATTTAAAAAAAAAAAAAAATCTTATGCCAATTGGTCAGCGTTCCTGCAACAGAAATTCAGGACCCAGCCTGCTTCCATTTTACAACCCAGTGAGTTAGAGTTTTGCACATCCTAGCATATGGACAAAAAAGAATAAGCATGAAGAACTCAGACTCCCTCTTAGTTTTCCTGAACCAGAATGCCATATCCTGCCACCTACTTTTTTGTTGTCAAAAATTTGGTCAGGGTCCCAACCTAGCTGCAAAAAGAAACTGGGAGATGTCTTCTCATCTGCCTAGGAAGGTGAAATGAGGTAGTGAACACGTAGCATTTTCCCCACTACAACATGGTTAGGAAACTGTAAGAAGACTGGCATACCTGAAAACCAATGGGAATTATGGGTTGGGTTGGGGGTGTAATATGTATGGTGGAGAGAGGGTAGGTAGACAGTGCTAGGAAACACAAGAACGTAGGTACCATGGCCAATGTAACTAGAAGGACTGGGTGGAGTCAAGAGCCTGAGTGTCATGCTGAGAATAGCATGCCAGTTCAATGGGAGTTTAAAGATGGGAAGAGAGCAAAGACAGGGAGAGGTGGTCAGTGGAGAATCCTAGAGCTCAAACTTCTCAACCTGAGAGCCCCAAGTAAAGGACCAGCTCCTGCTCCAGGACCAGACTGAGGTTCCAATTGCTTTAAGAATCCATGGAGTGCAGACAAGGATCTGAGACTCTGACCTAAAAACAAACTGAAAAGTTCTGTGTTCATTACCTCTGGACATTGTGTGATCCTTCTTCTAATGGCTTGGTTCCCACCACCTCCCCACTGGCTCTCCCTCTCAGCTGCATCCCATCTCCTTCCGCAGGCTCACCTCCCTTTTCTCTCCGGGTTCAGCCTTTCATCTTGATTTTGGTGGGTGCGGGTTCTTGGCCCCTTCTCATGGGGCGCTGCCTCCAGTAGTACCTGCCCCAGCTGATTTGCATTCTGGTTTACACTCAGCCATCTTCAACAAGGCCTATCCAATCAAAATAATAACATTAATAACTAGCATATACTAAATGGTTACTATATGCCAGGCGCTATTCAAACTTGTTTTATAAAGTCATGTGATGTATAACAATATTTCAGTCAATATACTATTGTGGTCCCATAAGAGTATAATACTACATTTTTACTATGTACTTTTTCTATGTTTACATATGTTTAGATATATAAATACTTACCAGTGTGCTACATTTGCCTTCACTATTCAGTACCGTAACAAGGTGCACTGAGTTTGTAGCCTAGCAGGAATAGGCTATGCCATATATCCTTAGGTGTGTAGAAGGCTACACCATCTGAGTCTGTGTAAGTACATACTATGATGTTCACACAACCGCATGATCGCCCAATGACACATTTCTCAGATCTCGTTAAGCAATGCATGACTGTCACATGACTGTATATAATTATTTATTCTCAGAAAAAACCCGTGAGGTAGGTGGTATTGTTATCGCTATTACGCAGATAAAGAAATAGATGCAAAAAAGGCTAACTCACCACATTCATGGCGCTTATAAGTGGTCAAGCTAGAATCTGAATCCAGGATGTCTGGCTTTTAACCAGACATAAGTTAAAAGTGCTATCGGTGCTACTAAGTAAAGGATGAAGGAGAGGAAGGATAGAGACAACATGGCTTCATGATCTTGAAAGAAAAAAAAAAAATGTAAGTAGCAGTTGTAATCACTAAGAAGGGAGAAGAAACAGTCTCCATTGTAGAGAATTGCAAAGGAGGAGGCTCCACCAGAGGATAAAAAACCTCCAATGGTTAACACAAGGGATATTTGCTTCTTTTTTTTTTTTTTTTTTGCGATGGAGTTTCGCCCAGGCTGTAGTGCAGTGGCGCGGTCTCGGCTCACAGAAAGCTCCGCCTCCCGGGTTTACGCCATTCTCCTGCCTCAGCCTCCTGAGTAGCTGGGACTACAGGCGCCCGCCACCACGCCCGGCTAATTTTTTGTATTTTTAGTAGAGACGGGGTTTCACCGTGTTAGCCAGGATGGTCTCAACCTCCTGAGCTCGTGATCCGCCCGTCGTGGCCTCCCAAAGTGCTGGGATTACAGGCGTGAGCCACCGCGCCCGGCAGGATATTTGTTTCTTAAAAGGGGGACAAAATCCTGGAAGAGGATAGATACGCCTGATTTTTTCTCAGTGGAATTTCACTTGCCCTGGCAGGTGGGTGGCAGGGAGATCTGAGGCCCCTCGAATTACAGCTCCTGGGCCCTGCCTCAGAAAAGTCCATTCGTCTCGGTAAAGCCCCTCCCACAGACGCACAATGTGGCCGTCTTGAGCTGGCTGAGGCTGGACGTGCAGTTAGCCGAGCACACAAAATGGGAACTGTTTGCCTCCGTGCAGCTGGCGCGCGTTTTCCGCTAGTTGCAGCTGCTTGGAGCCCAGCGCGCTGGCGGGGCCACGCCCCCGATGGATATTCATACCCAGTTTGGGCTCAGAGCCCGGGATTTCAAAGCCCCTGAAGGGATTTGAAGGGGCAAAGGAGCTTCCTGATAGGGAGTTAGAAGGAAGGAGGGAGCCGGGCTTTGTCCAGGCTTGCTTTTGAGGACTACAAAGGGGAAGGGTCACATGGAAAGTCAAATCCCAGGTTGCTAATCTAGGCTAGGTCAAGTTTGCAATGAGTGCTAGCTCCTTCCTCCTTGTAATTTATTGAGTCTTTCAATGTCCTTCTACACAGACAACGTGCAGTTACTGGTGTTTCGCAGACAGGCTCTCTTTCTAGCACTGGGGAGCATGAAAACAACAGAGAGTAGGCTTTTAGCTGGGTTTTAAGCGCTTGCTTCATAACTCTTACCCAGTTAAATGTCTGCGATGACAACGCTCCTTTCTCTCACATGCTTCTGTGCATGGATTTTAATTTGCACACATTCTTTACCTAATCTATGATTTTTAGATATGTCAGTCTGTCATGGGCTAGAAACTTTAAAAAAAAACACGTTTAAAATACATATACTCTTAGGTCTAGTTGAGACACTAATAAGTATTAACCATATTTATTAGTACTCACGTTTGGCTATTATTTATATTAGGGGAGAGATTTCCCAGCACAGATCATCTGAAAGAGTAGATAGTTCCCAAATGCATTTCATTGACTTATAATACTAGGTGGGCTTTTGGGTAAGTGGATTCACTGTCTTTTGTTGTTGTTGGGGCCATAAAAGTGTTTACTTTAGAATCCACTTAACAGAAATTACTGGAACTTTATTGAGTGCCTCTATTCCATTAATCCCTCCATTAAGAGAGAGACTCTGCTTTTTACCTACCAATTGGAAATGGAAGAAATAACATTGGGAAGAAAACAAAGAATAAACAGGAATATATTGTGAAAGCATTTAGCTACCTTAAATGAAGGCAAACCCCTCCCCAACTCCACTTCCATACCAGAGAACTGAACAAACATGCAGATATGAGGGTAGAACCACTGCGAGCAGCCCATGGGATCTTATGGGAAATAGGACAGGGATCAGACAAAGGACATAAACACACATCCCCATAAACTTGGATTCTAGCAATTATAGACAGACACATTTGCCATCAATCCCTAGCAAAGTTCTAGATTGGATAGTTAAGCAAGCAGTTAGTGAGCACTTTAAAAAGGTGACTCCTAAGAACCAGTAAGAGTTCATCAGAACTGGTCAAGCCAACCTTTATTTCCTTTTTATTTATTTTTAAAAAACAAAATGCTTGACTTCATCACAATCCCAAAAACAACGAACATCTTAGCAAAAGGATGACCTACGTCCCCCAACCTTTTTTTCTTTTCTGTAATAGACTCAGTATTCAGAATTGCTAAATTGAGTATCTGGTTGCTATATTAGTCTATTCTTGCATTGCTCTAAAGAAATACCTGAGACCGGGTAATTTATCAGAAAAGAGGTTTAATTGGCTCATGGTTCCACAAGCTGTACATAGTGGCATCTGCTCCTGAGGAGGCCTCGGAAAGTTTACAATCATAGGGGAAGGCATGGGGGAGCCAGCATCTTACATAACCAGAGCAAGAGGAAGGCGAGAGGGAGGTGCTACACACTTTTAAACACCCAGACCTAATGAGAACTCTATCGGGAGAATAGCACGAAGGGGATGGTGCTAAATCATTCTTGAGAAATCCACCTCCATGATCCAACCACCTCCCAGCAGGCTCCATGTCCAACATTAGGGGATTACAATTCAACATGAGACTTGGGTGGAGACACAGATCCAAACCATATCAGTAACCAGAAGAAAATAGACTTTAGAGCCAGAGGGAACTGGGTTTCATTCCAGGCTCTGCAACTTACTATTTGTGTGAGTAGATTGGGCATCTCTGAATCTCAGTTGTCACAACTGCAAAATGAGAATAGAATATCTACTTCATAGATATTAAAGAAAATACATAAGTACTCATAGGTACTCAAGAAAGGGCAATCCTTATTAAGATACAATTCAAAAGGTACAAATACAAACAAACTCAGGAAAGAGAAGAGCTGAATCAAATAGTTCATATAGAAAGAATTTTTTAATTTATCAAAAGCTCAATATGAAATAACAAAGTAACATGTTTCAGGTGCAGACTGAAGTTTATTAATATTAGTACGTGGAAGCCAATAGTAAAAAGTCCCAATTAATTTTACTTGGTCGGATCCTATCTGAAATTCTCTGCCCCCTTTTGGGTAGCACACCTGAAAGGGAGCACGGAAAAATTAAATAACATCCAGGATGATGTAAGACCCAGGAACCACAATATCTGAGAAATAATTGAAAGAAAGGGTGTTTTTTTATCTAGAAGAGGTTACAAAATGACTGTCTTCTGATATTTGAAGAGCTATGACGTAGAATAGGTATAAAGTGGGTTTGTATGGCTTTAAATGGTAGAATTAGGAGACATGATTAGACATTGCTATGAGATAGATTTTGGACTCAAACATGTAGAAGAGCTGTTCAATGTTGCATTGAGCATTTCTGAAAAATAGTAAGCTCACAGTTACTGAAAGAATTCCTGCAATGGGTAGAATTCAGCTGTCAAGAATAGTGTAGAAGAGATTATGGCATTGGAAAAGAGTGGCCTAGTCTTAGAGTTAGTCATATACCATATATATGCCACCACCCCAAGCAGTGGGAGGCTATTACTAATCAATGACAGCTGTCTTCCCTGCTGAGCTAAACTCAGTCTAGCAATCCTTCTCAATGCAAGGATTACAATTCAATTGTAATTGTATTGTAATTGAATAAAATACAATTACATTACATCCCCACCAATTTATCAGAGTTGACAACCTACCCAACCCAGATGATCCCTTAGTGTCTCTGAGATCCTATAACTTAAAATTTTCCCCCAATAGCATGTCTATAAAATATGTCTGTAAATTAACTAGAAGAAAAGTCATAGTTAAGCACAAAATATTTCCAGGTATCTGTGTACGTTTGTGTGTTTATGTCTGTATATGTACATATATGTGTGATAATATGTACATGGCTACTCCAAAACAGGAATCTTATGGGGGAAATAACATATTGGTCACAGGAGCCCTTAAATAGTGACTCTCATTTATGACATGCCAATAGTTAATGATATTGCTTTCTCCTTCACAAAAATTCAAACATTTTGCTACCCTATTCCACCCCTTATAAAATTTCAGACTTATTTTGTAAGTCGTAACTTTTGGAGCATCACAGGCAGGTTGGTAGAAAATGAGAGAACGTGAGGAATTGGCAGAAATAGTGCCAGAGTACTTGTAAACTCTTAAGAAAAGGGAGGGTTTTTATTAGTAAACAGAAGTGGCCAAAGAGAAGCCAATAAGAGACTAAATTACAATGTTCAAAGGTATTAGCAAACTTAGATTCCAAACTAATGGGTGGGCAGCAGGAGATACTCCTGGAAAGAGTCCTGGTTGAAGACAGGTAGGTGGCAGCTCATATTTTGGCTCCCTAGCTAACAATTAAGAAGAACAAAAATTCCAGTTTAACTCCCAAGGAGAGGGAAGAAGGTGCAAAGATAATTCAGTGAAGAAAAGATATAGTCTTTTCAATAAATAGTGCAGGAATAATTGGATATCAGGATGCAAAAACAAAACTCCTGAGTCCTTCCCTCTCACCATTTAGAAAATGAACATGAATCATAGATCTACATACAAAACTTATTAACTATAAAATTTAACATTTTCTTTAAAAAATTAAAGTATTTAATTTCAAAAGTGAGTCAGTTTAAAGACAAATATAAGTAACGATATATATAAGTGGGATACAGATATGCAAAAATTATGAAGTTGGCACTCCCCCACTGCCCTTTAACACACTGCCTCTGAGGGCTGAGAGGTATCATAGCTCCAGTCAGGCAGGATGGTGTTTAATAAAGAACTCAGTTTCAGGAGGAATGTCTGTCAAACCAGGAAACTCTGCCAGAACTTCATCATGTGGGCATGGGAAACTGTTGGATGAGGATGCAGGGAAGCTGCCATTTACAGCCCAGCGTTTCCCTAGACTCCCAGGATCTCAAGTTTAGGAGACAGGAACATGAATCCTAGTTGTCACTAGTCAACACTTGTGCAGCTACTTTTCAGCAGCCTGGCTTGAACATAGTGGGCTCAGCTGGGCAGGCAAAAACCTGAAAAGTAAATGTATTAGCACCTGCAACTAATTGAGCTGCGTAAGGTAGGAGAAAGGTATGTGCTTCTCATCTCACGTCTTAAATTCTTGGACCTTAAATTATGATGTCAGTTACAACATCTTCCTTTATTTAAATCAAATTCCACTCTCCAATACATCAAGAATTCTTTTTTTTTTTTTTTTTTTTGAGACCGAGTCTCACTCTGTCACCCAGGTTGGGAGTGCAGTGGTGTGATCTCGACTCACTGCTACCTCTGCCTCCCCAGTTCAAGCAATTCTCCTGCCTGAGCTTCCCAAGTAGCTGGGATTACAGGTGCCTGCCACCACGCCCAACTAATTTTTGTACTTTTTGCAGAGACAGGGTTTCACCATTTTGGCCAGAGGCTGGTCTTGAACTCCCGACCTCAAGTGATCCACTCACCTCAGCCTCCCAAAGTGCTGGGATTACAAGTGTGAGCCACCGCACCCCGCCCAATGTCAAGAATTCTAAAAGAAGGTATGTAACAAATGTTTTAAGAGATCCCCTGACAATTGATTTTCTAAGAAAGCTACAAAATATTCCTTCCTTGTTTACCCATAAAAGTCTTAGACATAGGCCAGACACGGTGGCTCAAGCCTGTAATCCCAGCACTTTGGGAGGCCGAGACGGGTGGATCACGAGGTCAGGAGATCGAGACCATCCTGGCTAACATGGTGAAACCCCGTCTCTACTAAAAAATACAAAAAACTAGCAGGGCGAGGTGGCGGGCGCCTGTAGTCCCAGCTACTCGGGAGGCTGAGGCAGGAGACTGGCATGAACCC